GGGCTGCTTGCTCCCTTTTCATCTGCCTTAGGGCTCAGCAGCCTTTGATCCTTTTATTTTTCTGCCCTCTAACTCTGGGGAGTCTCATCCAGTTTGCTAATGATGACTCAACGTATATTTTTACCCTAAATTCTCTCCCAAACATTAGACCCCAGTTATTGAGTGATTACTTGAAATCTCCACCTGGATATTCCTCCAGCTCTTTAATTTCATCACCCCCCAACTGAACTCATCTTCCTCTTCTCATAGACAGTTTTTCCTTCTGTACGTCATCAGCCTTCTGTTCTCCACCAGCCAGTTTCCCAGCCTGGACACTCCATTTCCCACATCTAGTCCCTCACAAAGCCCAGTCTTTCTCATTCACCTTGGGCAATGCTCCACCACATACCCCACAGCCAAGCCAAACTACATTTGACTCTTGTGTCTCGGAAAATCTCCTTCTGCCTGCGATATTTGGGGATGAATTTCCTTGCTTTAGTCTCTGTTGTCCTTACCCTCAAATTCTCTGCCCTTTCAATTTCAGAGACCTGGGTGGGAAGTTTGGCTTCTTGGTCAGGCTGTTTGTTACCTTTTCTTTGCCATCAGTCTCCTCTCTTTAGCAGAATAACCTGCCGTCCTTCCTGCCTAGGGAAGGTGTTCTTGGAAATTGCTGTAAATGGAATCATTTTATAAAGCACATTGCAATTCCTTGTAGTTACTTGTTTACTTGTCTAATGCTCTCCCCCAATAGACTCTAATCTTAGATGTGGGGGCTGTGTCCGGATCCTGTGTGCCACCGGGTCTGTGGTCGGTGCTCCTTAGAAAGCGCCAATATCTGCATATGTAAACTTCCAGAGAACTAGACATGTTTTCAGCACTTGGGGTTCACAGATTTTTCAGCAAGGTCAATTCATTTTATGTTTTATTCTCTCTTTGCTTTAGCTATTTACTCAGTGGCTGTCACCCAGTCACTCAGAGCATTGTTATAATTATATGTCCCTCTTGCTTTTTGTGGCGGCTCCAGGTGCTTTCCTGTTTGTTCAGATTTCAGAGGTTTTTGTGTTGTTTTGTTTTAAATATTTTATATTTAAGCAATCTCTACACCCAACGTGAGGCTCAAACTCACAACCCCAAGATCAAGAGTCGTACACTCTCACGACTGAGCCAGCCAGGCACCCCAAATTTCATAGGTTTTTAAACTTATTGGGACACATCTCAAAGGTAGATATTGCAACACAATCTGGATATAAGCTATGAGACTGAAAAAAAAAATCCTAGGGAAATCCCTGAAATTAGTGCTCCTTCAGAGTATTTAAAGTTGCATCACTTTCTCATTGTCTCATTTAATGATGGCTTAGCACGTTCTCAAAACAATAAGTCACATGTTATTAAAATTAAAATGACCCACAATTAATTTTATTGTTTTAATGGTGGATCTTTTTGTACCATAATTAGAGACTGTAGGATTCCAAAGCAGATTTGGAATTTATGTTTCTGAGTAAATGCTACCAAAGGGAGAGACACCAGCTCCTAATCACTTCAATCTTCTTTTTTTCAAGGTAAGAACTTTTTTTACCTTTATTTTTTTAAGTGATCTCTATGCCCAACGTAGGGCTCATACAACCCTAAGATCAAGAGCCATGTGCTCTGCCCACTGAGCCAGCCAGGCATTCATACTTCAATCTTTTTAGTACTAGTTTATTTTTGATCTGTTGCAAATGGCATAGCTATTGTATCAGTCATGATTCTCCAGAGAAACGGAACTAATTATGTAATATAATATAGGATCTTAATAAAATATAAAAATTTATTTATTTATTTGGCTTTAATAACAGACATCTATTTTCTTACAGTTCCGGAGGCTGGAAGTTCTCTCGCTCTGCCTTGTAGATGACCACCCTCTTACTGCCTATTCGCATGACCTTTTCTCTGTGCACGCACATCCCAGGTGTCTGGAAATGCATATGTATATTTATGCTTATTTAAGGTTTGTGTGATCGGGGCAGCTTTATTTAGAGGCACTGAGACTGGAGAGGCAATTGGAGTGAATGAACAAGAAATAAGTAGAGTGAAGGAGTCAGAGTGTACAGGACCAAGGTCCCCAAATATTTATGCCAGATAGTTGGGACACCTGCCTATTTCTGATTGCCCCTGAAGAGTGTTCTGGGACCCATTTTCAATGTGGGAAGGGGTTTCCCCACACATCTGGGACAGCAGCAGGGCATTCTACCATTCAACTTAACTCTGACACTGTCTGCCAAGAGATAGCATCAGATTCCACAGGCTAGGAACTCAGTCCCACAAGACTACCCCACCTCTACCCCCCACTTCAGAAGCTAATCTCTAATCCAGATTGGTACCTGTACTTCTGGCTCTAAATCAGAGGTTCCCATGACCCTTTCCTTAGGTTTGATTAATTTGGAAGAGATGCATAGGACAAGGCATGGGGAAAATGCCAGGAGATTCCAGGCCCTCCCAGAGCCCACCACTTTCCCAGCATGTCCACGGGCTCACTGATTGAGAGGCTCTCTGCCCTCTCCACTGGGGTTTTAATGGAGGCTTCACTACATAGGCATGTTTGATTAAATCATTGACCGGCCCCTGGAGATTGAACTCAATCTCCAGTCCCTCTCCCTCCCAACCTAGGAGGATGGGAATGTGTGTGTGTGCGGGGTGGAGGCAGGGGTTGGGGGGGGGGGGGGGGGGGGGGGGGGTGGTGAGGGTGGGACCTTCTGATCACAGGGTTGACTCCCCTGGCAACCAGTCCCATCCTTTGGTTACCTAGGGCTTTCCAAAGTTACTCATTAATATAAAAAAAGACACCTTTATCGTTCTCACCACTTAGGAAATTCTAGGTGTTTTTGGACATTTGATTTTCTTCCCAAACATTTGTTTTTACAAAAATAATTTTGTTTTTTCAAATTTTGAGTATTTAATAAGAGATTTAGTTTTTCTTTAAAAAAAATATTTTTTTTAGTGTTTATTTTTGAGAGAGAGAGAGACAGGCAGAGAGAAAAGGAGACAGAATCTGAAGCAGGCTCCAGGCTCAACACAGAACCCAATGCAGGACTTAAACTCATAAACTGCAAGATCATGACCTGAGCTGAAGTGGACCCTTAACCAACTGAGCCACCCAGGTGCCCCAGAGATTTAGTTTTTATAATTTGCAGTGTTTAAAAATTTATTTAAAAAATGTATAATATATTTATATGCTTTATAATCCAATACATATAAAAGAATAAATTGTTAAAGGTCATTTTCTTTTCTTGTCTGTCCCAACCTTATTGCCGTTGGTAACCCATGTTATTAGTTTCTTGTATATTCTTACAGAGATATTTTATGTATATACAACAAGTATGTACATATATTTATCCATACTTTTTATATCAAATGATGGCATACTATACATATTGTGTCTGGTGTGGTTTTTTTCTTTTAACAACACTAAATCATGAAGATCTTTCCATAACAAAATTTAAAGAAATTTTCCTTTTTTTTTTTTGAGATTCATTCATTCATTCATTCACTCATTCATTTTAAGTAAGCTCTATCCCAAACATGGGGCTCAAACTCATCACCCCAAGATCAAGAGTCACATACTGTACTGATTGAACCAGCGAGGCACCCAGAATTTAAAGGAAATTTTCATTCTTTTTTGTTGTTGTTACAGCTACAGTAGTGTTCAGTTTTATCACTGCTCCAAAATTTATTTCACTGGACCCTCGTGGACCAGAGATGCTACAAAGGATAACCTTCTACAAATATCATTTTACAAGTATACAAATAATTCAATAGGATACATTCCTAAAGTGGAATTGCTACCTTGAGGAGTTTACACATTTGTAATGCTGATTGATGTTGTCAAATTACTCTTCAGTTGTATCACTTTGCACTCTGGCCAGCAATTTATGAGAAGGCCTGTTTCCCACACATTCCCCAATTGAAAAGGTGACCCAAGAAATAGTAACTCAGTGTAGTTTTAATGTGAAATTCTCTTTTTATGAGTAAGTTGAGCATTTTTCACATATTTAAGAGCCATTCATTTGTCAACATGCACTATTCATATCCTGTATCATTTCCTATTTGGTGGTGGTGTTTTTAATAGGCTTAAGGGAACTCTTTATTAGGAAAATTAGCCTTAAATCCCAGGTTCAAATGGCAAAATTTCCCAACTTTTCATTTGTCTTTTGATTACCAGTATTTCCTTATATGGCCTTGAGGGTTTTTTTAATGTTGCATTATACTGATAATTAAATCAACGTCTTTAAAATGAATCAGAAATCGAAGAACCTTATAGTAAAATAAAAAACAAACCCAATGGGCATAGAGCTGTAATCTTATACAAAGTGTATGTAGCATGTACATGTTGTGAATCCTCTTTTTTTTTCCATATCAACATTGCAATATGTCTTAAATTATAATGGTTTATTCAACAATTATCCCATCTACATGGGGCCTCTAGGTTTTGTTTCATACTTGGAAAGGAATTGCATAGCTTTGCCAGTACTTTTTAAATTATATTTTGATTTGTCAATTTTTGTGTAAAGTTTGAGCTTTATTTTTCCTGATGGTTACCATGTATCTCAATGAAATTCTGTGCCAGTTAAAATGCTTTCAGCTCTAAGTGGCAACCAACAAAACAGCTTAAGTAATTAGTATGTTTATTAACTCCCATAAAAGAAATCTGTGGTAGGGTCATTCCAGAGTTGGTTAATTCAAGGGTTCAACAATGATTTCAAGGACCTAGGTTCCTTCCACTTTTCTGTTTGTTAACTCTATTCTTTTATTCAGACTAAAAACTAAGGGCTGTGTCTCTTTTACGTTGTACTCAAAATAAGCTTGGTATTACAAGAATTCCACTTAATTAGACAATGATTTTTTGTACCGCTAAACTTAGATGATCAGGTTAGCAGAATATTTTCATACTGCAAATCAGTTAAAAGTAGGAGTTACACCTTCAGAAGTCTAATGGAGGCTGTGTGGTTATATCCTGGAGTAGGATTTGGGAAAACCGATGGAAAATGGCCAAGAATTACTCCAGCTCTTCACCAAATCCTGCAGCCCACCTGCATCTGAACCCAGGTACCTGTCTTTCCCTTGAGTTACAGTGAGAGAGGCATCCCTGCTCTATCCAAGGCCTCAGGCCAGTCCTTCCACATGGCTATTCCCCTGCTCTCTTTTACCAACACATTCACTGGATTGTTTCCGTTAGCAGTCTCTTGGCCTTCCATCCCCACTCCTGCCACAATTCCATCTCTCTTCCTCACTCTGAAAGCCATGCTGCTTTTCTGTCTTCATCTCCCCTTCTAACCTCCATACTCCAGCCAGGCTTTCATTCCCCCCATTCTCCCACCCCCATATCAATGAGAAAGAGTGCTTATTAAGGTTGCCCGCTTCAACGTCCAGGAAGCCATACTCTTCTGATTTTCCCCTGACTTGCCTGGTAGCTTTTTCTCAGCCCTTCTCCCAGGTCCCCCTCCTCCTGCAGGCCTCCTGTAGTGCTCTAGGCTCTGGCCTCAGTTCTCTCTTCTCTACCTCCACTTTCCTCTAGAACCATGGCTTTAATTTTCACCTATTTACTGATGATTTCTAAATCCATACCTCCTCTCCTGACTTCTAGCCTGAGGCCTAAATTTATTCATCCAATGACCTTTTGGCATTTTCCATGTCAATATTTAATAAAAATGTCAAACCAGGGCACCTAGCTGGCTCCATCAGGAGAGCACGTGACTCTTGGTCTTGGGGTCATGAGTTCAAGCCCCATGTTGGGCATGGAGTCTACTTAAAAGAAAAAATGTCAAATTTAACATGTCCAAAGCAGAACTACTCATTTCCCCTCTCCTCCCAATTAATTCTTCCCAGAGCCTTCCCCATCATTGTACATGGCACACTCATTTCCTAACTGCCCACATGCATCTATCAGCAAGTCTTGCAGGTGCTTACAAAACATGCTTGAAGTGTGGAAGTTCCTCAGAAAATTAAAAATAGACCTACCCTATGACCCAGCAATAGCACTGCTAGGAATTTATCCAAGGGACACAGGAGTACTGATGCATAGGGGCACTTGGACCCCAATGTTCATAGCAGCACTCTCAACAATAGCCAAATTATGGAAAGAGCCTAAATGTCCATCAAATGATGAATGGATAAAGAAATTGTGGTTTATATACACAATGGAATACTACGTGGCAATGAGAAAAAATGAAATATGGCCTTTTGTAGCAACGTGGAT